TTCATCTAGGCCACATGTAATATGGAAGAGCTTTTGTGAGGAAGAACATCATAGTGTTCAAAGCAGACCTCCCACCTCTTATACTTACTGGCTGTGTGACCCTACCAAGGAAAGTCACTTAACCTCTCATAGTCTGCAGCAACTCTCTAAAACTCTAGGTTGTGGAGCAGTTGTCCCTCTGCATTGGTAAAGAGTTTCCTCATCAGGATGAGTTCCTTATACCAATTTTTGGACCACTAGTCCAAAAAAAAAAGTCATAAATATCAGGAGTTATTAAGAATACCCTAGAAGCTTAAGAGTGTTTTCCACTTTTGTTCCTTGGGGTGTTTTTCAGTCTTTTTAACTATAATTATACTTAACTCTTCTCTGACCCAAGAGTCACTGTTTAACTCAAATCATAAATCACTAATGGTAAATACAGAATGTAGCCATAAATATATTAAGCTATTCAGTATTTTTCTGCTGAAGTTATTTATTTCATATTTTTCTGTGTACCAGATTATCAAGGTTACTGAGCAGGTCAAAATATGTTTATGTATATGTTTAACTTTAGATTTTGTCTATTCTTTCATCATCTTCTACCTGGTACTTAATTTGACACATGACCAAAGAAATTCCAATGTCCCTAGATAGGGATAATTCTGACTTTATCTGGCAATTCTGTTACATATTCCTCTGAATTCTTTAACATGATTCCACAAATGCAGAGTCCACAATTCTGACCAAGTAAGCCCCAAATGATGAAAGGATTATTGAAAGTTATCTTGTTGACAAGGCATTTACAAAAATATACATCATTATTCCCACAATGCTAAAATATGCTAAAGGAGACATATACAATGAATGATAGGAGTGAATGTTATCAGTTACAATTTATATATAAGGAACTGAACAGTAAAGTCACAAATTGGAGCACAGGTATAATTCAGAACACTTAATTAAGCAAGGGAAATGAGCAACTTCCTTTTAATCTACCTTTCTTAGCCAGTTTTTCTAAAGGAGCTTATCCTCCTTCCTCATTTAATTATAATTTATCTTTGATCAAAAAGATGAAAAAAATACAGGGATCGAGTAGAAACAAGAAACACACTGAATTTCTTTTTTAGGGCTGGAGAACAACTTAATGTCTTTTACTCTTGTCTTTTATGATTCAGGTACTATTAATGAATAGGAACCCTGAGGATAAACATATCCTTTTTATGAACAGAGCACCTCGTGGCTTCCAGATGGCTTACATCTGCTATATTGACTCTAATGTAAGACCCTATTATAGCTCTTCAAGGCTTTGCTGCCCTTTTTTAATCAAAGAAAAGCTAACATCATTAATCAACATTCTCATAAAACAGCTGCATTTTTAGAAGATAACTATACTTTACAATTATAAAATGATTTGCCCTGTTAACCTTTTTTAAAAAAAAAATAAAAGAATATTCATTCACAAACAACAGGTTTGGATGACAAAACCTTCAAATTCAGGGTTTCATTTAGTTGGCAGCGCCAGAATGGTGGATGTAGTGTCAAGAGATACCACACCTTTGATGTTTAATAGCTATATCACCCAAGACAAGTCACACAATTTATCCACATGTGAAATAGGAATTCATGAGGTTATAGTAATGCACAGTATATAGAGTACAATACAGTATATAAAGTACTATTTTACAGGGTTCTTGTGAGGAAAGCATTTTTGATAAATCCTAAAGTGATATTCAAATGTGAGTTATTGTTAGAAGGAAGATACAAAACTTTAAAAAGATGATTTAATTTGTATCCTATGGGTGCATATACATGTTGGCTATCAGTATCTTTATAAACATTAGAATCCAAACCTATTTCTTGCACATATCTTTTTTTTTAATTAAACAGAACTTGGATTATTCCATGAAATTTCTTACTTTCTTCTTGAAGCCCTATGCCTCTACAATGGGGCAATATTTCCCTTCCCTGAGTTCATTTTCTTTTTCTTCCATTCATGCTGTAGCTAAACTACTCTAGCTAGAGAATTTTACAATTTCTCTATTACTAACTTACAAATTCCCTATAGACTTACTATTTCCCAGTGCCCTGTCAGCCTCCCTAACATGGCAGGGACAGATAACTAAGAGCATGGCTTGTGAAATCAGTCTCATTGCTTCAGAAGCATTTCATAAGGAAAAAAAATCTAAACCAAAAATATTTAATTCAGAAAAAAATGTCAGATGTTTAGATTACGGTTATCACTGATTAATATTACTCCAAGATCTTAGGTTGGCAAGGTGACATTAAGTAATACCTAACCCCAGCTGGTTATTGTGAATAAATGTTTTTGTAAAGCTTAAAGTTCTATAGTTATTACTATAATTAGTAAGTACATGAAACAAAAATCCCCTTTACAGTGACATACCAGTATATATGCTTTTGTGTGTATGTTTTCTAAAGAATAATAGATTGCCTACTTCTATAAACTTGCCTTTTTGCTACTTTGTGACTTGGGAAAGACAAAAAGCAATGGAGGGTAGAGGGGAAAAATTCACAAAATGAGTCATTCCTGGCATCTGGGTTAATGGAGTCTACCATTTTCAGTACCATATTTATTAAATACATAAAGCACTTAATCTAATACAGCAATTAAGAGACAGCTAGACAGCAATACTTCTGATGAATCTCAGAAGAGCATTATTCAAGAAATAGAGGAACAACCTATTTTCATTAATGGTATGACAAGTACAAGACTAAAATACCTATGAAACTACAATATTTTCTTACAAATAATGTCAAATAAACCTCAAATAAACTGCACGATAGAGATTGTAAAAAGACCATTTAAGAGTTTTTATATATCCACAATCAGGACACTTTTAAAATAATCATCAACATAGCAAACAACCATAGCGCTTAAAAGCTTGCAAAGTGCTTTTTAATACATCATCTCAGTGTGTGCAAATGCTACCTAAAATCAGATCTTTTCATCCTCGTTTTTTTGAACAACCTAAGAAATTAAAGAGACTATAGATTTCCAGCTTTTTTCTAACAGACCCTCAAGGCTTTTTCTAGTTTCAGAAATCTTCCCCCATCTGGTCTCAGATAAAAGGTAGTACTTCTTGTCAAAGACAACCTCTCTACATCTACCCTTGATGCCATCTCCTCCCAACTTCTCCAGAAAACTGTAACCACTATCATATTCACATTCTTTCTTATTTTCAACCTCTTCCTATTTATTCTGTACATATTTTATATATACCAAAGTATTTATTTACATGTTGTCTCCCTTATTAGAATGTAAGCTCCTTGAGGTTAGGGACTGTTTTTGTCTTTTTGTGCCTGGCACAGAGGAAATATTCAATTGCAGACAGAATGAAAAATGCCAGAGGCAAATTAATGAAGTAAACATTTTCTTAAAAACAAAACAAAACAAAACACTCCTCCCCTAATTTCTAATACTAGATAAAAGTCTTTTCACTTTTTATTGTCTTTAAAACCAAGACAAATAACTATGAGTCATAAAAATTAATTACTTGCATTTTTTTCCCACTGTCTTGATATTGTCTATAAGGGACAAAGGACATTATGACCTATAAACTAACTTCCCTATAGTGAGACATCATAAGATTTAGAAATGGAATGAACCTTAGAGATTTTCTATATGAATTGTCAAAATGTGGGACGCTAACACTAAACACAAAGTTAGTTTCTTATATAATACAAGCATTGTTATCAGTGGTACCATGTGCAGAACTAATTTCTGAATTCTGGAAATAGTCATACAAATGTTTGGTGACAGGTATCCACTAATTAAATATCTCACAAATATATGATTAATATTAATGTGGTTTTAAATCTAAATTGCTCACAAGGATTTTTTTTCTCCTACCAATAGCTTTAAAGATTGAGTTTCTGCCCCATCACCTTGGAAGAATCTGAAAATAGTTCTCCATTTTAAAGCACTTTTAGTCCCATATAATCCAGAACACTTCTGACCTTCTCCCTTCTAGCAAGAAACAATAGCAATCCAGTTTTGATCGATCTCCAGTTAACAAGCCTCATGGGAACTAAGTAATCTTTCCTTTCAACAGAAAACTGAACACTAGTAAGAAAAAGAAAAGGAGCGTATAAATAATAAAATAAATAAATTATACCTTTTAAACTTAGAAAAAGCTTATTTGAACAACTTGAACTGCTTTCTTAATGAATTCTGTACTTCCAGACATTTTTAGAATTTTTAAGGCTAGAATACTACCTACTACTTTATATATGAAATAAGTAAGACTTTCTTTACTGACATTAAGCTTAGGAACAACTCTCTTTAGAAAGGAAACTGGACTGAGAGTCAGGAGATCTGGGTCCTAGTCCTTACTCTACAATTAATTAACTGTGTGCCTTTAGCACACAGCACACATTCCCTAGGACTAAATTATGTCAGTGTTCTTCCAGGTCTAAAGACATCTAATTATATGATATTTACTTAATAACAGACATCCATAAAAATAATCACTATTTTAAAACAACACTCAATTTGGAGTCAAGGGGCCTTTTTTCAAATTCTTCCTCTGCCACTTGCCACCTGTGTGACTTTGGGTAAGGCACTTAAGTGTTTCTGTCCTCAGGTTCCTCATCTGAAAATGAGGATTGGGGGCCACCAAGGCTATGAAATAATCCTTTTGGCTTCAAATCCATGATTCTATGATTCTAAAAGTAGATTTCAATTTAAAAAACACTTATTAAGTGACGTACTAAAACATCCAAGATTAGCTGTTCCACATGAAAGATTTTTCAGTCTTTAAACATTCAAAAAGAGTAGCTCTTGGAAAGGTTAACATGGAAACTCCCTCAGCAGCTCTGAAATACACCAACAAAAAAAGGTTTTATTTATTTATTTTGGTGGAGGGGAATATGCAGAACATTCAGGCAAAGGAAAATAACTATCAAATAATACTATATATTCTGCTTTTTAAGGGATACTTTTCTAGATTGAGGCAGAGTTGTTAACATTTTTACATGAATTTATTTATATGAAAAAATACCTGGCATAAATGAAGCTGTTGGAAATATTTGTTCTTGCTTCTTTTTGCTTTCTGTCAACAGTTCCTCTTTGGTTAATGGAAGATCCAAGACTTCTACAATAACCTGAGCTGCATCCAATGCTTTTTTACCCATAACCATGGCTTTCACATCCCACGTATATTTCTTTCCAAAGCAGTCACAGATTTCCTGGAATATCACTGAATAGAGTCGCTCAGTATCTGTGGGAAAAATAGGTTATATTTATTAGGAATATTTCATTTAAATTTGTGGGGAGAAGAGAGGGGCAGTAAAAAGATTACTAAACTGGGAGTTTGGTGACCTGGGTTTTTTCTAGTTCCAATTCTGATACTGATTTAGTTTATGATTTTGAAAAAGTAACCATTCTGGATGGCAGTGGTGTTATGTATAAAGTGAGAAGGCTTGACTAGACAGTTTCTAAGGTCCCTTCCAGCTCTAACATTCTGTAATTCTATAGTTCTAAGGAATCTAGATGAAGAAAGACTCCCTACGTCAGGACCAAATGATGTTTAATTTAGGCATAGGTGAATGAGTAGGTAATTAATTCTTTCCAAGCTTATTTTGGTCCCTCTTAGTTTTCAAAGAATACAACATAAATGTGATAGTTATAAGGAAATGTAATTTCAAAGTTATAATTATGTAAATCATTTAGACAAAAGAAAGTAAAGATTGTCTTTGGATTGGAAAAAATGTGTCTTTAAAAGCATCAGAGAGAATTTCAGCATAATACATTATGTATTAGCATTTTGACATCAAGCTTTGGGGTGTTTCCACTCATAATTCACTTCAGCACCTGCCATAATTCACTTCAACACTCATTTAAGAACTTCACTGTGGTTCCTGTGAAATGTTTAATTTTAAGAACTGTGTCCTGATCCGGGTTGGCTGAGTTAGCTTCAAAATGAACCTCCAAAAAGCCAAATGCACTGATCTGTTAGTTATTTAAACCTGATCATTTAAATGTCATTGACTCCCAAATATAAAAATTCTGAAACTGATTTCATTGATGTTGAGCTATTCTTTCAGGTGATAACATGGTTTAGTTAAAAAAAAAAAAAAAAAAGCATTGGACCTGGAATCTATGATCTTTGGCTCTGGTCTAAGATCCCAGTTACCTCAAATGTTGTTATATGATGGGGCTGACTTAGATCTGGGGTTCATAGATCCCTGAAGAACTGTCATTTTTAATCTTTATTTAGCAAAAATATATTCCATAATCTGAACAACACATACATAACTATTTTTCAAGTGTTTAGGGAATACAGTGTTGACTAAAAAATAAATACATTAAAAAATTATTAGTGAATTCTTAGTGAATTAGTGAATTTCTGTCACTATGTAGTTTCTTAGTGAAAGAAAAGTAAAAACACAAGAATTACCTTTTAGGGTCCATGTAATTTTTTTACATTAAAATTGGGTGTTTCTGCTTAGACAGGTTGGGAACCACTGAGCTAGATGATGTCTAAGTTCCTTTCTAATTCTAAATTCAATTACAATACAACTGTTTGTAAATACCTCCCCTCAGTGAGATAGCAAGGCTATACCATAGACATAAAGACAGAATAAAATTAGAGGAAACCACTTTGTTAACTACAAAGTACTGTAAAAAATGAGCTCATCCCTGAAAGCAGGGATTCTCTTATTCTAGTATAAGCATATTATTTTATATATTATATACAAGTATGTATGTGTGTATAAAATATTCATATTCTAAATTGTTCAAATAGCAATTAAAGATTAAAAATGCTAGGACACAATCATACTTTGAACCTTTATGATTAGGGTTACATATAAAATTGGATCAATGCTGTTTTGTTCTAGGTACCCAGGAAGTCTGTATCAAGAATCTGGCCCACTGACAATTCTGACTATTATATTAATAAACTATACAAAAAATTTTTAAATTATGCTTGTTTTTAAAGGAGATGAAATATGGAATAACAATAACAAGCAGTAGATTAATTATTTCTTCTTCTGTGTTTTTCCTGCATATATTGGTTTAGACATTCTAGTCTTGTAACATGAGGAAAAAAAAGTGGCAGAGAATTTTAAAGGCATATTCAGCGTCTGTGCAATTCTTGGATAATAAATTCCTAAGTTTCTGTTTTAATATTTCTTGATTTCTCATTAAGTTGTTTTCTGGTTAGCTTATTATAATTTTCAGATGATTCATTTCTTTGGTAAAATTCACCATTATCTCTTCTAAAGTATTAATTCTCCTTTCTATTTTTCCTTACTAGGTATTCCATTTTGTATATCATTTGATTTCTTCCATGTACCTTTGCAGTCCTTGGGACTAACACATTGTGTTTATTTGGTTTTTTTTAATTAATTAACTTATTTTTAGCTTTCAACAATCACTTCCATAAGCTTTTGAGTTTTAAATTTTCTTCCCTTCCCTCTCTGCCTCCCTCTCCAAGACAGCAATCTGATATAGGCTCTACATATACATTCCTATTAAAAATTATTTGTTTTTTCATATGGTTAGATCTATGCATTAGAAAAATCATCTTTGAGGCTGAGTAGAAGATTGGAGTGGGGAGAAATATGAGTCCAGGAAAAGTTAGAAGGCTATTACAATAGTTCAAGAAAGAAGTGATAAAGGGTTATACCAATGAGATAGCTGTGTGAGTGGAAAGAAGGGGATGTATAGGAGAGATGTTGTGAAGGCAGAAATAAGACTTGGCTATAGATTAGACATGTGGGGTGACTGCAAGTGAAGGATCAAGAATGACAAAGCAAAGTCACTGGTAGGATGACTTGTCCTTGACACTGATAGGGGAGTTCATAAACACAGGAGGGTTTGGGAGTGGGTATGGCAGACATATTATGAGTTCTGTTTGGGACATGGTAAGTTTGTGATATCTACAGGGCATCTGCTCCAGATGTCCAAAAGGTACCTTGTGGTGCAAGCACTTGGAGAAGTACATTAGAACAATAAATAGAATATTAGAATGATCAACTTGTTCTTTTCAGAAGCAGCTTAAAAACTTTCAAAAGAGAATTCAATAGCCTTCCTCTGTAAATCTGTAATTTCCCAAACTTCTTTATGTTCTGTTGAAGGTACAACCACTCTTTTAGATAACTAAGTTTGTCATCTTACTTAGTCCCTTCCATTTTCCTCACTTTCAATCAGTTATTAAGTTTTGATTGTTCTTATACCACATTTTTTTGCACCGATGTCCTTTTCTGTACCTCCAGGGCCCAAATCAAATTGGGATCACTTACGGCATGAATTATTGTTTGAGTATTGTCTCTCCCATCTTTAATCTATCCGCATGGCTGCCAAAATAATGTTCCTAAGGTATAAGTGTGATTATGGCCTTCCTGTACTCCAAAAACTTTAATGATTCCCCATTACCTTTAGGATAATACTTCTAAGCCTGGAATTTATAGTCTCTCACAATCTGGCTTCCATCTATCTTTTTAGCCCTATTTCATACTACTCACCCTCATTCTGCATGTGCAGTTTTGGGAAAATACATTCTTTCTGATTACGAAGATCAACTTATTGACCTGCTTCCTAGTTCTATAGTAGTATAAATGTTCTTTTTCACTTGGGCAAAGTGCCCCAATCCAAATTTTTTTTAATTTATTTATTTTGAATTATCAGCAATCACTTCCATAAGCTTTTGAGTTTTAATTTTTTCTCCCCCTCCCTCCCCAAGATGGCACACAATCTGATATAGGCTATACATATACATTCCTATTAAACATATTTTCACATCAATGATGTTGTAAGTAAGAATTAGAATCAATAGGAGGAACCACCAGAAAGAGGAAACAAAATACAACAGAAGAAAAAAAAATAGCAAATAGCATGCTTCGATCTGCATTCAAACTCCATAGTTCTTTCTTTGGATGTAGACAGCATTTTCCATCATGAGACCTTTGGAGATGTTTTAAATCCTTGTATTGCTGGGAAGGGTTAAGTTTATCAATATTAGTCATCGCACAATGTGACTATTACTGTGTACAATGTTCTTGTGGTTCTGCTCACTTCACTCAGCATCACACCTTACAAGACTTTCCACGTTTTTCTAAAGTCAGCCTGTTCATCATTTCTTATAGCACAATAGTATTCCATTACATTCATATACCACAGCTTGTTCAACCATTCCCCAATTGATGGGCATCCTCTCAATTTCCAATTCTTTGCCACCACAAAAAGAGCTGCTATAAATATTTTTGTACTTGTGGGTCCTTTTCCCATTTGTATGATTTCTCTGGGATATAGCCCTAGAAGTGTTATTGCTGGATCAAAGGGTATGCACATTTTTATAGCTCTTTGGGCATAGTTCCCAAATTGCTCTCCAAAATGGTTGGATCATTTCACAACTCCACCAACAATGCATTAGTGTTAAAATTTTCCCACATCTTCTCCAACATTTATCATTTTCCTGTTTTGTCATGTTGGTCAATCTGATAGGTATGATGTGGTACCTCAGAGTTGTTTTCATTTGCATTTCCCTAATCAATAGTGATTTAAAGCATTTTTCATGACTATAGATGGCTTTAATTTCTTCATCTGAGAACTGCCTGTTCATATCCTTTGACCATTTCTCAATTGGGGAATGACTTGCATGCTTATAAATTTGACTTAATCCTCTATATATTTTAGAAATGAGACCCTTATCAGAGAGACTGGTTGTAAAAATTCTTTCCCAATTTTCTATTTTCCTTTTAATCTTGGTTGCATTGGCTTTATTTGTGAAAAAACTTTTCAATTTAATGCAATCAAAGTTATCCATTTTGTTTTTCATAATGTTCTCTATCTCCTGTTTGGTCATGAATTCTTCTGTTCTCCATAAATCTGATAGGTAAACTATTCCTTGCTCTCCCAGTTTGCCTACAGTACCAGCCTTTATATCTAAATCATGAACCCATTTTGACTTTATTTTGGTATATGGTGTGAGATTTTGATCTATGCCTAGTTTCTGCCATACTCTTTTCCACTTTTCCCAGCAGTTTTTTGTCAAAGAGTGAGTTCTTATCCCAGAAGCAGGGGTCTTTGGATTTATCAAATAATAGATTACTATAGTCATTGACTTGCATACTTCTATTCCACTGATTCACCACCCTATTTCTTAGCCAGTACCAAGCAGTTTTGATGATTGCTGCTTTATAATACAATTTAAGATCTGGAAAAGCTAAGCCACCTTCCCCTTCATTTCTTTTCATTAGTTCCCTTGTTATTCTG